AATGAGGATCTAGTGGGCCCTGGGTTGTCTCACTCACTTGCCGGGCCTGCGCTCTGGGTTTGTTCAGGATTCCGTGCCCGGTCCTCTCACTCATTAGCCGGGCCTGCGTTCTGGGTGTGTTCAGGATCCGGAAGGCCCTGGGTCATGTCACTCACTCGCTGGGCCTGCACTCTGGGTCTATTCAGGATCCCGCGGCCTGGGTGGTCTCACTCACTCCCCGGGCCTGCGCTCTGGGTCTGTGCAGGATCCTGCAGCCTGGGTCGTCTCCTCTTCCTTCTCATTGAATTAAGAGAAAGTAGCTGTATATCTATCCTAACTATTTTGTATATACAGATAAAAAATGGTCCTTCATTTGTATCTCCTTTTTTTTGTTTAGTTTTGTCAGAGATGGAAAATTTTTTTCAAAAAATATTTTTGAAATATACAGTAATATCTCAGTTCGTGAATGCTTCTGTTTGTGAATAACTCAGTTTGCAAACAGAAGCGTTCAGCAAAATTTTGCTTGCATTTGCCAACTCCACACTGGGTGACAAACATGAATTTGGTCATCTTCCCTGGAATCCTGGAATGAATTAAGTTTGTGAACCGAGGCACCGCTGTATTTTAAGTACACGTGGGTTTTTTCAAGCTGGGGGTCTAACCTAGGTTCTCCTCGGTCCCACTTGCTACTCCTAAGCCATATTTCCAGCCCTAGTTTTAAATGTGGCATGAATCAGGGGCTCACTTGTCCAACATCATTTATTAAAATAAGTCATCAATTTGCAACTGAATTCAAATAGCACGTTTTCATATGTGCAGTTTCATCTCAGCAGAGTCTGTTGTGCGCTTAGTATTCTCTGTACTGGTTATACGCCTAGTCTCATTCTGGTTTCACGCTGTTGTAATTGTAGTCTTCTTTTCAGAATTTTAAAGCTGGGGCTCAGACTTCATTTGGTCAGGTAAAGCTTCAGATAATTATGTCAAATTAAAATTTTAAATTATACTCTAAAGTACATTCAAGTCATATGGGAACAGGAAAGAGGTTTTAAGAAAGAGACCAGATTAAAATAGCTATATAGAGGGGCCAGGGAGATGGCTCAGTGGAATAAGCGCTTCCCTGGCAAGCACAAGGACCTGAGTTCAATCCCCGGTTCCATCAAAAAATAAATAAAAAGGGTTTAACTCTGGGGCTGGAGAGATGGCTCAGTGGTCTAAAGCACCTACTTGGAACAAGCTTAGCAAAGCACAGGGACAGCGGTTCAATCCCCCAGCACCACATGCCAGCCAGCCCGCCCCTTGGTGGGCTGAGCTGGCCACACACACACACACACACACACACACACACACTAATAAAATGTAAAAAATAAATAAATTTTAAAATAGCTATATAGAACTTAATGGCCACAAATGGGCACACGTGGAAGGAATGGACGTTCTCTACAAATCTTCAGCACAGCACATAAGGAGGAGAAATAGGAATAGGCCGATTGTTAGAAGAGAAACCGGGAATGTGTCTAAAGACCTACTGTGTGAGTCCTACCCGGGCCCCAGACAGATGATGCCTGGGTTCTACCCAGCCCACAAGACGACATAATTCTAATGTTATTCAGCTACTCGCAGTCACAGACGTAAGGCAGCGAGCTCCCTAGAATCCCGTAAAACTAATCCCATTTGTGCCTCCTGTACAAACCCCTCCTGAGAACAGAGATTCTTGCTCTAACTAGGAATTAGGAAGCAGGATCCATCGCTGGGTCAAAAAGACTAATCTGGCGCAACCAGCCTTTTAAGCCGTGATACCTACAAATGACATTAACAACATTCGCCAACACAATTCACTGCATCCACAGACTAGAGAAGAGAAACGATCGCATTAACAGGCAACAAGTAAGCCCCTGTTAATATTCAGTAGCCATTCCTCCTACAGACCTGAAGCTCCATGTCCGAACTTCTAAAATGAAAAAGTCCTGAAAGCCGAAGTGATGCTTGTAATTTGTAACTACACCACAGTTGACTGGAGGTAGTGCTGGTCTGAAATAATGTAAAGAAATAGTAAATATAAAAAGTATTGTGTTGTTCTTTAAAATGGAAAGTGTGCTCTGTGTGTGCTCAAAATAAACATACTGGGGATCGGTCACTGGGAAATCTGTCCTCTATTCACAATTACTGTAGCCTTCTGTCAAGGTGAGCGAGGAGAGGTCACGTGAGCAATGTGCTTTAGGTTCCTTGGAAGAAATGTGTCACTGAGCTTTATTAAATCCAAGGCAATACTGGGAGAAAGCTGGCATTTATTTCATGTGTCACTAAAAGCAACAAAACGCTGTAGCAACTGCATTATGAAGTGTCATTGGTTGTAAGGCACTGCCTGGTTTTAGAGATATTGAAATGTAGAAAGAGATGTATCTTACAGTTGGTGAAATGTGGTATTTATACCCAAAGGGCAAATGAAAACATCTGTCTCAGGCCAGATATGAGTGCAGGGTGTGATGGTCTCAGGTTGGCCTGGATGCAAGGTGGCTGTGGACAGGCCACTTAGTATTGAACGTTAGCCTCCCTGAGCAGTAGGTTGGGCATCAGCCCTGGGAGGGTGCTGACGCTGGTGGTGTGGCCTCTGAGGTCTTTCCACATCCTCCATGCAGATTCCCTGCCTGAGAACAAACTCGACAGGCTCTTCTCACTCGAAAGAGTCTCAGCTTTGAAGAGAAGCAGTGGGTGCCCTTGGGTGTCTGCCCCTTCCATCAGTCTGTCCTATGTGTAAGGCGGCTCAGCTGAAGAACCTGCTAGAACCTCTGACTGTTCTAACAAGGCCTGGACATCTTCAAAAGAGCCTGTAGCCCAGGGAGATGTGACTTCCCCATGTGCCCACCTCAGCTAATGGCAAATGAGCCTATGACCCAGGCACCTCACTGGAGCCCAGCGAGACAGCCCTGCCTAGATTCCTGACCCCACAGGGCAAGGATCCAGCCATAAGTCTCTGGCCCTTGTGTCAGGCCCAATGGTTTCTGTGTTCTAAACACAGTCATTTCTTCCTAAAACTTTGGGTGCCTGGCTTAGCTCGCCACCTTCCCCTGCTAACCACGCTCTTCCTCATTGGCAGGGGCCAGGGGCTCCTCCCTGCAGAGTGTCTGAGGACCTGAGGCCTCACGCCGGCAGCTGCTGCTTGCTGTCCTGCAGGATGGGGCTGCTTAACAGCAAGAAGCACGTCGCTGAGAAGGGCAAGGCCTGGAGCCCCACGAAGCCTGGGTCCCGGAGTCAGGCGCCCCCACCGCTGCCGCCCCTGGTGAGTGGGCAGCCTTTTGGGGGCTGACGGGTGGGAAATAGGTGGATGCACACGGGGTTCCCTGGCCCAGTTCCTAGGCAAGGATACTTTCCAAAGATGCTCCTTTGAGATACCTGTGCCCCCTGCCCTGCAGCCTCTTGGTTTGGGCAGTGAGACTTGTGCCCGGACCCCGGCTCTGCCCACCACCATGGGGCAGTGCCACACTCTAATGGGGAGCTGCTGGGGCAGAGATCACAGTTTCCATGTCCTGTCTTAGCAGAGCCCAAGATTAGCATAGGGCCTGGCACAGAAGAAAGACAATTGGTGAATGGATGGATGGCCCAGCAGGCAGACTTAGACAGGTGGAGGGATTTCCTCAAAGTTATAGGCTTCCAAGGAGTAGCTGGGAATTTTTGACTTGATAAAGTCACATAATATGTATTTACTAATTGTGGAAAAATGCCACTGCCTCAAAATCCCACCTCCACAGATACCTGGAGCCGGCTCTTCAGAGCGCCTGGCCAACCTCTTTTTCTATGTGTCCTTTATGTCTTGGGTTTGTGATTTGGAGGCAACCTTATCATGCACGTCACTTGCAAAAATCTACCTCAAAACTGGGTGCAACGAGTACAGAAATTAAGAAGGGAATAAGCACATGTCAGATTGAAAGACAATAAGATAAACACACACAATGCTCAGCCACCTCCTGTCCTCAGAGAGGGAAAGCGACTGCTGCTTGGACACTCTTGCTTGCATTGGTCTGCCACCCGCCGCAGCCCCCCATAGCTCAGGTCTGCTTAGGATGCATTCATTCATGGCTTTTTTTAGAGCACTGCACACACACTCAGGCTATGCAGCTTCATTATGCGCATCGAGAGCGTCACATAAACCGATTCCACAGCAGGTATTCCTCTGAGACTAGAGTTGAGTCTGTCATTATGTCTGTGAAGTTCACCCACGTGGCTGTGGCTTCACCTCATTCGTTCCGTGGCCTGGCTCCACTGCAGTTTGTCTCGCTGTGGGCCCTAAGGGTTATGCCATGTTTTAAAATGTTCTATTTTATTGAGATTACACTGATGGCTAGTAGGCACATGCTTACTATTTCCTGTACACATATGCAGAAGTGTATCCACCTCAGGTACATCTATGGATACATTTGCTGAGTTTTAGGAGCTCCTGTAGTCAGCCCTGCCCAAGCTCCAGCCTGTGGAACTAACTCACAGCACGTGTCTTTCTGCCCAAGGTCGTCTTTAACCACCTCACCCCTCCACCTCCTGACGAACACCCAGACCAAGGTATGAAGGGAACTCCTCCCCTCAGGGCCCTGCTTTATGGGGTTAGAACAGGGGCAGTCCGGGTGGGCCCTTTAGACTCAGAGCATAGAGCTGGGGGAAGCTGGCTTGGCTGGCTCTGTCCCCGGCTTCGAGTGCCCCCTGGGTCTGTCCAGGAGCCGAGTGTGAGTCCTTAGTGTGTCAGCACCTGCGGGATGAAAGCCAAGACGCTACTATCTAGAAACCAAAGCATGAGAGAGAAAAGAGTCGCAGAAGCGGGGTAGCACCCAACCCCAGCTTTCGAACTCTTACCACACAACTCAAGGACATGTGCTCCTCTGTTGTGGTGCCATTGGATGGTGCCATTGTATCTCCTCTCCTAGCCACCTTCCCAGTCCCCAGACTCCACTTCCACTGTGGCGGGTGGGGTGGTGGGTGTGACAACGCATGGTCACAGTTGCCCTGTGCCAGGGGATCAGACCTCAGTGGGCTCCCAGGGTGGGCCCTGGCTCAGAGCTGGCTCGAGAGCATGCCTGGCACCATGTCCACATCACACCAAGAAGCCCACAGAGCACACAGCCTGCTCTGTCCTCTGTGCCAAGGCTGGGGAAGGTGTGGCAGTGGCCAGACTTGGTAACAGCCATGGCTAACGCCACAGGGCAGGTCCTGTCTTCCTCAGCCCAAAGGGTGTCCCTGAGTGGTTCATAAGGAATGCAGCCCTAGAAGGATTTTTTTTGAGGGGGCGAGGGGGGGGGAAGGCTGACTCTGGATGCCTTCAGGGCAGGTTTAGTAAGGCTTGAGCATCTGGGGATCGAATCACGCAACCTGAGCCTGACTGCTGTGTTTAAGCAGTCACTAAACAACTGAGCTAATGGGCAGCCCTGAACACAGCCCTAGAGACCACCCTTGGTCTGGAGAATTTCCTCTTTAGGAGTGGTAAACAAGGACCTGCCCATGGTTCGCCTGTCTCCAACCCTCTTTGTGGCTTGAAGGTGGCTCCTGTACCCATCACTGCAGGCCCTATCACACCCCCAGCCCACAACAACATCCATCTCTCCCGCTCCCTTCCAGAGGAGCATTATGTGGTGGCCCTGTATGACTACGCTGCCATGAACGACCGGGACCTGCAGATGCGGCAGGGGGAGAAGCTGCAGGTCTTGAAGGGGTGAGTGTCTTGGGCGTCTTCCCCAACTGGGTCCCATGGGTCTCACTGCACCTCAGTGACCTCAGTTGGTCACCTGGCCTTTTCTTAAAGTTGACCCAGTTGTGATTGTCCCCTCCAAAGTCTCCCTGGAGTGGCCATATTCTTTGGTGACATTCTCTTTGCTCTTTGCAAACCCCTACCAGCATCACCTCCTCTGAGCTCCAGGCATGACCTCCCAGGAGTGCATTCCCCTGAAGGCAGGCACTTCCCGGGCCATGGTGCTTGAGGCTTGGTCTTGTTTTTGCATTCCCCTCAGACCCTGCAGCCCTTTATCTCTGAGAACTGTAGCTCTCCTCACAGAGCCCAAGGGCCCGATTTTGTCCCCGAGGCTCCACAATGGCCTCCTGAGTTCCAGCATGCAAAGGCTCTGGGCTTTCATGGGCTCCTCCTTTCGTCACAACTGTCCTGGGTCTGTTTGCCCAGGCCAGTCCCAGCTCACTCTGAATTCCCACTTGACTGGGGCGGAGGTGGGTATCTGGACAAATTCTCCCCCTTCTCCCCGTGGCTCCATCCCCCTGGCCGGCCGGCATCTCTGGTAGGCATCTCCTTGGATCTGGAGCAGCCTGGAGGGGGGCTGGGCCCCGCTGTCCTATGCCTGTCTCCCTCTCCCCACAGAACTGGGGACTGGTGGCTGGCCAAGTCGCTTATCACCGGGAGAGAGGGCTACGTGCCCAGCAACTTCGTGGCCCCAGTGGAGACCCTGGAAGTGGAAAAGTAGGTGGACAAACAGAAACCCTCTGCAGCTGAGGGGTGGCCCTTGCCTCTGCCCTGCAGGCTGCTGGGCAGTGGAGGCTCTAAGACTCTGGGGAGCGCCTGAGAGGGGTGGGATTGAAGTGCCGGGAAGGGGCTACCTTGATTCCAGGTGATGTCTGCCCCGTGGCGTGCTGCCAAGGGCACTGCTCTTCCCAGAGCAACAAGAACGTCCCTTTGCTGGCTGCCCTGATGGAGTGGTCGCCAGGGCCAGTGGCCTCCACCACTCCTCACAGCCTCCGGGGACAGGATCCAGGGCCACAGGGAGGGTGCAGGGTGTTGCCAGGACCAGGGATTGCTCAGGCCCAGCTTCCCAGCATGCAATGGCCACCTCCACACCTACCAGGGAGGTTCACTCACCCAGGCCAGGGGACCCCATTCATTCAAGCCACGACAAAGAACATGCAGCCCATAGCAGCGCCGTTCCGGGGCTGGGGAAAGCGTTCCCAGGGATAACACATGGCTCCTCCGTCCCTCCTGGACCCAGATACCACCAAGTTGCAGGACCCATGCTGCAGGGGTGTGGAGTGGGGAGCTCTGGTACCCCAGTCTCAGGCACACAGTGGAAGGCAGGTTGTGGTGTTGGTGTCATGCTGGGTCCATTTTGGCAGAATAGAGACACCCAAGGTCACCCCAATGATGCTCTCTTTCAGGAAAATACAAGCTCAGGGGCCAATGGAAAGTGGGATGGGATGTGGACAGTAGAGCTGTGAGTGGAGCAGGAGGCGAGGAGCAGTGGTGCGGGGCTGACTGGGGACAGAGGGAGCAGCCAAGGACTGCTGCAGCCAGCCCGGCTGCCACCAGAGCCCCAACACCCACACTGTGTTCTAGGTGGTTCTTCAGGTCCATCAGCCGGAAGGAGGCTGAACGGCAGCTACTGGCCCCCATGAACAAGGCCGGCTCCTTCCTCATCAGGGAGAGCGAGACCAGCAAAGGTGAGCAGCCTGGCCGGCGGCCCCTGCCCACAGGTCACCAGGAGCCTGATGGAGACTGGCCTGGGATGGACTGGCTGGCAGCTTCTGCCCTGGCTGCCTCCACTGTGGGGTCCTGGTTGGGTTTTGAGGCTGTTCACGTTAGTGGCTCTCTGGTCACTCAGGCCAAATGCATTGCTCCAGTGGCAGAGGTGGGGGCCTCCCAGCAGCTGGCTGCACAGCAGATATGAGGAGGCTGGTGGGTGCCCAGCGGGGGCTTTGAAGCAGAGGATTTGGAAGAAAGAAACTTTACAGGATGCCTCAGCCAGGGGCTAGCAGGTGACACAAGTTTGGGAAGTGGCCTGGGCCTCAATGTGAGAAGGGGTGCCAATGTGGAGAGCTGGGGAGACCCTACGCAGCTCCCAAGACTCAGGGACTCCAACTCAGCAAGGTTTGCTGCGTTCCTCTCTTTCTGTCACTTAGCTAAGTGACACAACTTCTGCATGTCCTTTTTGTTGTAAAATAGAAGACATGCATAAAGCATGCATAAATTACATGGTAGAAAGCTAGGGTGAACATCCAGAATTTCTTAAATTCTAGCACAGTGAAAAGCACATCACCATGAATCCCCCTCAAAATCTTCCCTGCACTTTGAACTTTTTTTTTTTTTTTTTTTTGGTGGTACCAGGGATCGAACTCAGGACCTTGAGCTTGCTAGGCAAGCACTTATTCCACTGAGCTATCTCCTCAGCCCCACTTTGAACATGTTCAACCCATCATTCTTGCCACTCTCTGAAGCAGCTCTGGCAGTCTTCTTTTCTGAGTATCATTAATCGCTCTGTCGCGGCTGCCGCTGTGTCCTGCCCCGATTCACTACGCTTACTTTGCATGGTCATTTTGACTTTGGGGAGACCTAGAAGTCACAGTGCAGCGAAGAGCCAGTGAGTAAGCCGGGTGAGCACATACACCGCAGTGCCTTCCTTTGATAGAAATTGCCCTGAAAAGGTGGTCAGCTCAAAGTGATCAACAAGTAGGACCCAGGTCAAAGTTAAAAGCTGATGACCATAAAATACTGCCATCCATTCCCCCTCAAAATACGTCACACGCTCTCCCTCACTTGGGACTTATCTGTCCAATTGGTCTTGGTAGTGTGTCTTTTACGGCGAATAAGATGTTTACAGTTTAAATATTTGCTGTACTTTTCAGTCTCTCCTTGTAGATCAGGCAGTAGTGGGGCCTGAATCCCTAGGTAGCCAGGACAGAGGCAGCACGGCGGACACTGCTCGTCTTCGTCCTCCTCCTCCTGCTCCCTCTTTGACCAACCCGCTCTGTGAGGTGCTTCTTTCTCCCTCTCCTGAACAGCCCCAGCCACCGCCTATATCCTTCTGCCTTCTTTCACCGCGAGATTCTGCATTATCCAGCCAGGGTGCTGTCACAGGTACCACCAGAGCCAGGTGCCATCAACAGCAGGATTTATGTCCTCCGGGGCCAGGTGCTGGCAGGGCTGGGTCCTCCGAAGGGCTCCCTGCTTGGCCTAATCACCTGCATGACAACTCTGTCTCCAAACATAGTCAGGGACCAGGGCTTAGGATGGAGGCAAGTGAATTTAGGGAGGTACATCCATGAGCTGGGAACAGCGACAGTGTAGGACATTGCTGTATGGAATCCAGCATGAGTGTCCCACTGCCTACCCAGCCACTGCAATGTGGGAGACAGTGGTGTCCAGAACGAGGCTCTGAGCCCTGCTCTGTGTGTGCCCTGGTATAGCCTTGCCACTGTGACATACCAAGCCAGCGCCCATCTGACAGGTGAGGAAACTGAGCCTGAGGCAGGAAGTGACGTGTCTGAGGCCAATCACAGACTGTGTGAACCTGGCTGATCAGGGCCCTTCCCAGGCACTGTCTAAAGTCTTCGTCCATTAGAAGGGGCCCTGCTTTAGTAGTGACATTGGAGGAGGAGAAGGAGCCTGAGTGAGAAGAATGTAAGTTGGGCTCCCCGTGGCAGGGCAGTGGACAAGGCTCTGTGTGACCCACAACAGCCGCCAGGGCGGCAGGAGCTCGGGGCACAGTCTCTCCACACTGGGATGCCCTGGGGACCAGGGCCAGGCTGGGCTGGGGGTGCCGGGAAGCTCGGATGCCCTGTGCAGAATCTCCTAAAGGCCCCAGCAGCTGCATGACATTCGTACAACCCCTGGGCGCACACCCGCTCGCACTCCATGTACAGTTAGGACATTTCCACTGCATTTCTTGGCAGAACACCTCTGCCCGAGGAACAGCCGGAGAGTCACTGGCCAGGACATAAATATTCTGTGAGTCTGGGACATTGCAGACACACTTCGAAGTGGAGAGAATAGAAAACGGAAGCCTGTATCCAACCCAGGCTTTAGCAGTTTTCCCTGGGCTAGAACGCTTTCCTTTGTGTCCCCAACTCCTGCCTCTCTCTGGAGTCAGTTATCAAGGCCCTTTCCCCGGGAAGTGACGTCTGAACCAGTGCTTGATGCTGAGGTCCTCTAACAGGCCACAGATTTCTCCTTCCTTGCCCAGCCCAGGAAGGGGTCCAAGCCAGGACCCAGGGGGATAGATCAGGGTGCAGAATGTACAAGTATTGTCACCTGCTGCCCACACAACACACAGGCACATGCTCATACAGCATTCTCTGGGGTTCCAAAAGGAAGCCCTCAACCTGCATCACAAAGCGCCAGCCTCCTGACACCAGGCGGGCAAAGAAGCTGCCCCAGAATTCCCTGCGCTTCCATTTATTGGTGTCCATGCCGGCACCAACTGTTTCCCAGTTCAAAGACAGACAGGTCCTCCCATGTTAGGGAATCTGAACCTAGGTGAGCCAGGGCCCACGCCCTCGGGGCAGCCCTGGCACTGGACAAGGGGCCTCATTAGGAAGCGCAGTGATGGGCCTCAGTGGAGCCTGGCAAGGGAAGCCCCCAGCCCGAGCCGCAGCTGTTCCTCCTCCCTGGGCCGGGCAGCGGGGCTCCTGGACTCACTGCAACGCACCTCACACACTGCAGCTGCGCTCGGGGAGCAAAGCCCTTATGCCTGCTGTGGCGATGGCAGCGTGCAGGAGCCCAGGGGAGCGAGGGCCTTAGAGCCTGCGGACCCGACACGGCGGTACCAAGCTGGGGCCGGATGGCAAACCCTGAGCGTGAGGCAGGGACCGGGAGCCCCCTGGAGAGGCGAGGCGCACTGTTCCGTGGCTTTCTCGTGCACATGGGTAGAGAGGTGCACATTGCAACAGAAAACAGGGGAGGGAGGGAGGGAGGGAGGGAGGGAGGTTCTGGGCTTCCGACAGGGTGGGGAAAATCAAGCATCCATGGCTGAGAAAGCTGTGTCCGAGCCTGCCCCCTGGCGGAAGAGGGTGGTACCGATCCTGTAGGCGCATTCGCGGGCAACTGACTTGAGATGCTCACCTCCCATAGAAGAGTTGAGGAGAGGGAGTGTCCGTGCTACCAGAGACATTTTGTAAAAGCACCAAGGCCACAAAAAGGAGTCTCTCAGCTGGAAAGTCATCCACCTAAGTTGTTCTGAGCCCGTGTCATCTGTTACAATTGCGTTCAGGAAAATCATGAACATCTAAGACAAAACACATGGATGTGTGTATGACAAGCGGTTAAATCTGCATAGACCCCGGGGAAATGCCTTGCTCCACTCGGGCCCCAGCGCTGACACTGATTCACCACGTGCCAGCCTTTACAGCCAGCAAATAAAGCCCCGAGGCCACCAGTGACCTACCTGGCGTTTCTTAATTTTCCATGGCACAGGGTCATAAGTAACCAGGCCCATGGAGCCCCACATGACTGCTGGGAGACCATCCCACCTGCTCTGTTCCCCTGGCTGTACTTGGGGGACTTGGGGTGAAGCTCTCAGGTGGAAGCAATGGGGCGGGGGGCTCCCATAGCCTGGGCATGAGATGCAGTCGAAGGGAACTAATGCCAGCAGTGGTAAAAGGGGAGCGCGGAATTTGGGGACCTTTATTCCAGAGACCTTATTCTTCCTATTGGTGCCTGATGTCTCCTGCGTGCCTGTTACTGCCCTAGGGTCCTTTTCCCTATCTGTGAAGGATGTCACTGCTCAGGGGGACATAGTCAAGCACTATAAGATCCGCTCCCTGGATGAAGGGGGCTACTACATCTCTCCGAGGACAACCTTCCCCTCCCTCCAGGCCCTCGTGGAGCACTATACTAGTAAGAGGGGTGTCATGGGGTGGAGCTTAACCACAAATTATGTGACTCAAGGGAGGGTGTATGCGTGTGTGTGTGTGTGCGCGCGCGTGCGCATGTGTACATGTACACTAAGCAAGGACTTGTAGTCTTAGAGGGAGCAGGTCAGGGACAACAAGCCCTGTTCTATGTAAATGAACAGATAGCAGGGGTGGTAGTGGTGCACACCTGCAATCCCAGCACTCGCTCATGGGGGGTTTAAGACCTGCCTGGACAACATAGCAAGACTGTGTCTCAAAAGCAAATCAAATGAACAGGAAGAGCTGCAGGTGTGCATGTGTGACCTAGGCCAAGGTGTGGGGGGCGTGGCTGGGGGCGTGGCTCCAGGAGAACTGGCTGCCCTGGTGCCCTCCAGCCCCTCTCTTCTTCCTGATGCAGAGAAAGGGGACGGCTTGTGCCAAAGGCTGACGCTGCCCTGTGCGACGCTGGCTCCACAGAATCCCTGGGCACAGGATGAGTGGGAAATCCCCCGGCAGTCTCTCAAGCTGGTGCGGAAGCTCGGGTCCGGGCAGTTCGGCGAGGTCTGGATGGGTGAGTGGCAGCAGCCCAGGTGCCATGGATCTGGCCCGAGTCCTGGCTGCACGGAGACCACAGAAGCCTGACAAGGGAAAGCAGCACAGAGCGCTGACTGACAGTCCCTGTGACCTCACTGTGGTGGGAAGGATAGAGCCCAGCTCGCCGGCCCCAAAGCCTGGCTCTGGGCCTTCTCCACTGCCTCTGCCTGACTCCTGTGGGTTGACAGCCTCTCAGCTCTGGAGCCTAAAATGCAGCTTGAGTTCAGCCTTGCTTGATCCATGTCTCTGGGGTGCAACTTCAGGGTGGACCCTGAAGACACCGGTGGTGCCTCTGGCAGGAGCTGCTGCAGGGTCCCCGCTGAGTCCTGCCCCCAAGGATGGGTAAATCTGAGTCCCCATTATCTTTAGAGGGACCCCCCCATAAACCTGCCTTGGTCTTTGGGGCTAGGATTCCAAGGAGACTGGGACAGGCCTGCCCTGCCCCAAGGTGCACCCCTTGTCTGTCACCTGCAGGAGACACAGCTACAGCTGCCACCTCCATCCCATCCCATCCAAGGGCCTGGGACCAGAAGCTCCTGTCGGATCACCTCCAAGCATCTGACAGCTCCTCCCTTCTCTCTCCTCCCTGCGCAGGTTATTACAAAAATAACGTAAAGGTGGCCATCAAGACCTTGAAGGAGGGAACCATGTCCCCCGAAGCCTTCCTGGGCGAGGCCAACCTGATGAAGACCCTGCAGCATGAGCGGCTGGTCCGTCTCTATGCCGTCGTCACCAAGGAGCCCATCTACATTGTCACCGAGTACATGGCCCGAGGTGGTGCCCGCAGTCTGGGCTGGGGTTTGAGCCCGCAGGGTAGAATGATTGTCACATAGCTGCTTCTCAGCTCTGCGGCATAAGGGCCTGCACTTCAGGCAGGCGTTGCCTGGGATACTGCAAGAGGGACGAGGCATGCCAAGGCTGGGCGTCCAGCAATGGTTCTGGTTCTGGTTCTGGTTCTGCCCTGCATAGGTCTTTTACAGCCGTGTGACTCCCCCAGCTCAACGGCCAGAGAGGCCCACAGTGTGTCCTCAGGGGCAGTGGGCTTGCACTGGGCCTCAGCCTTTGCCCTGTTTCCCACCCTCCAGTGTCCCTGGTCACACACTGCTCCCTGTTGGGCCTTCATGTAGCCACAATAATTATGAAAATTGTTAGCTGGGGGCTGGGGCCACAGGCTGCTGGGCACAGGGGCCACTGCGTGTCTGCACGGCACCCCACTCCTTGGTCCCTAGGAGACACCCTTTTGCTCCTGCCGCAGTTTCCTGCTAGGACAGAGCCTCTCTGGCAGCACAGTTGAAGGGAGCAGGGCAGATGCGTGAGAGCATCCAGGCTGGGGCCCACTCCAGTGCCCTGACAGAGCCTCAGATGGATCCCTACATCCTGCTGGGACATAACTAGTGGGCTGCTGGAGGCCGCCCCGGGGGTGGGACAGTGAGGGCGGAAGCAGAAGGGCTGAGGGCTGCAGGTGGCACCTGCCCGGTCACCAGTGAGAGGGTGCAGAGTGCAGCCGCTTTCCTGAAGCACACCAGGCCCTCTGTCCTAGGGTGCCTGCTGGATTTCCTGAAGACAGATGAAGGCAGCAGACTGTCCCTCCCAAGGCTGATAGACATGTCAGCCCAGGTTGGTGCCCTGAGTCTTGGGGGCGGGGGGGGGGGAGTACGGTCCTCCTCCGAGCCTGCAGCCTGACCACGTCCTGAGAGGTTGTGCTGTTCAGCCTTGGGCTGTGAGCAGGTCAGAGGGCCCAAGAGAGGGTGGCCTGAGTCTAGCTGTTGAGAAAAAAAGGCAAGTGTGTTCTTGTCTCCCTCACTGGCACCACCAGTGCCTCCTGGGAGAGGGGGCTCTGAACACATAGCTCTGGTCCTGGATGAATGGGAACATCCAGGACCCGAGGACCCCCAAGTCCCGGGAGCCCTAGCCTCAGTGCAGCCCCAGGACAGGCCTGGCCTCAGGTAGCACAAGCTGAACATGGGCGCTGGGGCATCTCTTCTCTGAGCTCCAGAGAATGCCCACTTCTGCCATCAGGCTCTAGATCTCTGGGCCACCCTGGACTAGCCCCTGGGGTCCCCCAAAGTGCTCTGTAGGCCCTGTGAGGGGATAGCAGTAGGCCAGGGGTCTTTTCTCTGGGGGATGTAGCTGAGGGCTCACCCACAGAAAAGCACACTTGGGTTCCTGTGTGGGTATCTATTACATGTGGAGTTCTCAGCAAGAAGGCTATTGTCTGTGGTCAGCATTACACACACACACACACGTACGTACATACGCACACATGCACACATGCACACACACAGCAACACAGGTACCCGCCATCACCTCCCACCCCGCCGGGCACTATCTCCCCAGTATCAGCTCAGGAAGTGAGCTCATGGAGCTTTTGTCTGCTGAGCCTGGCAGAGACAAATTCAGCAGCGGCAAACTCGGGACCCCAGGACAGTGATTACCCTGTCACCGGTCCTTCCCTTTCTTCCTTCCCCTCTCTCACCTGCTTCCAGTGCCCCTGCAACCCTGGGAAAGCTTGGGTCACTGGGGACAAAGAAGCGCCGGGTGCTTGAGCCCTGGGGGTGAAGCCTGTGGGAAATCAGAACCTCTCGGGCCAACAGCTTCTGGGCCCCTTCCCGGCACACTGCGCGCGCGCGCACACACACACACACACACACACACACACACCCCATTGCCTGCACACAGTGCTCCCAGCTCTCCTCTTCCTACTCTATAGGACGAAGCACAGAGTCCCCAGGTTGCTTGCTGAGTGGCGCCTGTGCCCCACAGCAGCCAGGCTTGTCCTCTGCCCAAGGGTCCTGAGCCCCCCGCAGGGGCCTGATCAGCACTGCATGGAATCATATGTCCTGCTGCTGAGGCTCCCCTGGGTGGCAGAGGAGGAGGTGCCTCTCTGTCCCTCAGTGTCTTTGCAATCTGTGGAAGAACAGCCGCAGTCAGTGTCCCGGACTGAAAGGCGCCAGAGTGGCTCCTGGCCATGCTAGGGGTGGGAACAGAGGCTCACCTTTGTGCGCTCCAGTGCTCACTTGGATTCTAAGTGAGGGTCACAGGCAGGTGCAGGGTGATTGGGTGAGAGCCTCGGCCACTTGTCACCTCCCAAACACCTCCAGGCTCAACTCTGGCCTGGACAGTAGCCCTGGCATTCAGGGTCAGGCCCATGGTGCCCTGGAGAGGCTGGCAAGCAAGCCAGGGTTCCGCTCCAGGCAGAGGGTCCTTCCCATCTTCCCTCCCTCACTCTGCAGAGACAGCCTTGCTGTCTCGCTGCGGCTCCTCCCCTGCCATCCTGTCCTCTGTAGTGGGTCATGGAGAGGGTGTGGGACAGGAGGAAGGGGACAGGTGGCCCCGTTCCTCTGACAAAAGCAGCTCCTGCTCTCCCGCTTCTCGGTTGACCCTGCTGAAGCCACCTTCCCCTCCACCTGGAACCGGCACCTCCATGCTGTCCCACAGAGCAACCCCCAGACTCCCCGGAATTCCACGCTGTGCTCTCCCTCACTGTGTGTCTGTCCCCACAGGTCGCTGAAGGGATGGCATACATTGAGCGCATGAATTCTATTCACCGAGACCTGCGGGCGGCCAACATCCTGGTTTCTGAGGCCTTGTGCTGCAAGATCGCAGACTTCGGCCTGGCCCGCATCGTAGACAGCGAATACACGGC